TTCTCTATGAACAGAGTTCTCTCACAATATTGGCTAAGGCAATGCATTAACTAAGAAACCGCTTAATTCAAGCAGCCTATATATTTCTCTAAGCAAAACATATTACCCTTGCTTTTTTGAACGCAACCAATGTTGCCAAAAGTTCACAGCTGGTCAGAAATTTATAAAATGGAAATATTAGAATCTTTCGTCTGCATCGTCTGAAACGAAAGACCAAGACAGATCGAAATTCAAGTCCAACCGACCATAAAATTATCGACACCCGTCGCAAACGACGTCTTTATTGCTTTAGGCGGTTTTAATTTTGCGTTATGAATTTTCTTCGGGCAGCAGCAGACCATCAAGTTTTCAATAGTTCATATGCTGGTCTGAGTACCACGTTTGTTTTTCTTTCTTTTTTTCTTTTTAACGATCCAGTCAGTAAACTTATACCGGTTTGCGATGTTTGAGGCCAACTATACAAGCAGGCTAATTGGTGCGCTCGTGAAAATAAGAAGTATTTAATTAAAGAAAAAAAAAATCTATGAACCATTTTACTGGGATAACGATGTATAAATAGCCGTCCAATTACAATTTGCATCAAAGGTACTAAAAATATAGGCAATGACTATTTGGTTAATAAGCATACTGGTCATTTTGTGAATACGTTGATATATATTAATATGATCGTCACAAATGTATATTTCGAACATTATTTCAATTAATTATCATAAAAAATGCTACGACCTGTTTTCATTTTTTATTTTTTTAAGTAATAGAAAATACAAGAGAATATATGTGACGTCGTGGTGAATAGTTCAAAGCCAGACCAGGAAGGAATCCTAAAGTAATATTTGATCGTTTCTTGGGAAATTGATTGTTTGGACATCTTTTTCCAGCAGTCCTCAGTATAATTTTGCCCAGAGTGCGCGCGCATGTGTGCGTGTATATATGTGTGTTTGTTTGTCTATGTGTGTGTGTCTGTGTGTGTTTGTATATGTGTGTTTGTCTGTGTGTGTTTGTCTCTGTGTGTGTTGTTTGTCTGCGTCTGTGTTTGTATTTGTGTGTGTTTGTCAGTGTGTGTCTATGTGTGTCTGTATGTGTTTGTCTGTGTGTCTATGTGTGTTTGTGTGTGTGTTTGTTTGCCTCTATGTGTGCATGTTTGTCTCTGTGCGTATGTGTCTGTGTGTCTATATGTTTGTCTGTGTGTGTGTGTCTCTGTAGGTGTGTTTGCTTGTATCTTTGTGTGTGTGTCTCTATAGGTGTGTTTGTTTGTCTGTGTGCGTGTGTGTATCTCTGTGTGTGACTGTGTGTGTAACCCTGTGTGTTTATTTGTCTGAGTGTGCGTGTTTGTCTGTGTGGGTGTATGTCTCTGTGTGTGTGTGTTTGTCTCTGTCTGCGTGTGTGTGTGTGTGTGTGTGTGTGTGTGTCTCTCTCTCTCTGTGTGTGTGTGTGTGTGTGTGTGTGTGTGTGTGTGTGTGTGTGTGTGTGTGTGTGTGTGTGTGTGTGTGCCCTTCGTCTGCACATTTTTATGATAGCGTGTTTACTTCCTTCTTCCTGTCTCTCCTGTCATCCAAAGGCCGGAACAGAATATATAAATATAATCTTTATGTTTCCTTGTATTTATCTAACCGCCAGGTCCCAAATAAAATAAAGAAAAGAAAGCATGCAAAGCATAACAACCGCATGTGTTGGCCAGATGAGCTAACAGCAACATGGAAGTCATTCCCGCCTTACAAATTTTATTCACGACAATCTTTTGATTTGCCAAATCTTAACTCATAGGTCTTCGTCGAAATAATGCCAATTCCATTTTAACTCACGTTATAACGTGGATTAAATAGCAAGTTCTCGTGAAGAGAAAATACGAGCCGGAAATATGGAAGGATGTCATAGATTAAATACTAAAATAAGATTATAGACTAATTTTTAAAAACTATTCTAATAAATAAAACCAGGTTGTATCTTCATCTACATATTCAGTTACAATCGAAAATAATCAATTTAAACTCAACATAAAGGTTGTTACTACTACATCCAAAACAATAAAAGACTTAGTCAGTACTAAAAACGATAAGCCAAAATATGAAGGGGGAGTTCACTCCACCGCCAGTAATAATTGCCACAAAAACTACATAGGAGAAACCTCAAGGAATCTAAAAATATATATATGAATACAAAAGGAACATTTTATAAAATAATACGTTAAATGCGTTGGTTGTCCACCGTAATGAGACTGGCCACAATTTTGACATAAAACATGCTATTCTGAACAAAGGAGAAATAATTCACTGCGATGTAAATATTTAAGCAGTGCTTTAATCGAAAGGGCATCTACAGTAAATTTGCATCCTGTCTCTTACAACATTTCGCCATTCCTGTTCTAATATTACAACGTGGAATACCTACTTACAAAAGTGATGGTAAGAAAAGAAAAAGATTCTCCATGAATTCGGCTAGATAAAAAAAAATCTAAAATTCCCAGCACCTCACTGCCGTATGCATGTATAGTCCTAACAACATAAAAAATTTAGTCCGATGAAGTCCTGAAGGACGAAACGTGTCACAAGTAGACATTTTTCACTTTGTCATATAATTTTTCCCATATTCAGTTAAAAAAATGTCTCAGAGAATAGCCGAATGGTTTCGGACATGCGGAACTTTTGTACAATTTTTCCACACTTTATGACCAGAAAAGAAAACACTAATACGAGCACAAGAAAGATTTAAATACAAACCTTAAATCGCAGTACCTTGTCAGTGTTCTTTAATGAAACTTCTATAAAAACGGGATTGCTGCCGAAGTACACAATTATCTAAATAACAGAAGGCGTTTTAAAAGATCCATAATCAAAACTGCTTCAAATATAAACCAGTTTAGCCTTAACTGTTGAAACGATTTTGAGATTTCACCAAAATCAGGGACTTCGTTTTAAGGGTTATCGCAGTAAAAAAAAAAAAAATGTTATATTTATTTAATAATTTGAAAAAGCTCAAGCCAGTTTATCCCTAGTTAATATCCTGTTGTATTTTACGTTTACTCTCATTATATGAGAGTTAGCCTCTAACAGGAGTTAATAAAAACACGATTTAAAAAATCTAGCAGAAAAATCATATATACATATATATTAGTTCATTATTTAGATTATTCGGACTATTGTCCTCATGTTTGTCGCCATATTTATTACAAAGTTTCGGCCGTAGTACACTCCAGTCTTCTTCAGGTGGTTGGAATGTCGAAGTGAACCCTTTATTTCGCTCACTCTGGTAGACTGTTCTAGTTCCACGTGCCATGTTTAATGGATATCAGTTATCAGTTATCTCCTGTTAATTCCCCTCTCGAAGTTCTCCACTGCCTTAACTGGGTATTGAACTCACATTCTTTGGATGCAGTCACTGGATCTAACCAACGTCTTTATCCACTGTCCTTGAGGACACATGGCACAGTGGATATATTTAATCATCGGTTAAGGCAGTGGAGAAAAATAGAGGATAACATGAGGAGTCAGTTACTTACTGAAGCGGTACAGGGAGTCGATCATTTTAGCTGCATCTTTAGCGATGGATAGAATTCCACTTGAGGTCGGGTTTGTCATTGAGGCCAAATATCCCCTCAAAGCACGGTGCCTCCTCGAGGGGACATCTGCTCATCGTGACTGGCGGTAGTTCTGGGTCTGATCGCCGGTAATGGAATGTAGCCAGTTAGGATTTAGAGGCATTGAATGTAACCATCCATTTTTTTCCACAGCGAAATGGAACTACACTCCAACCATTCTGGGTAAGACGATAAACTACATCCAGCAGCAAGGAGGTTTTGAGGAGTATGAAACAACCTCTTAATTGCTGGTGTTCCCAGATCCACCCTGACCCTGAGTGGTAGAACATGTTAGAGACCCAGCGATGGGCAAATAGTTAACCCTTAAACTGGAGTAAAAAACACTATGAAAGTGTAAAAATAGGTTTGAATACCAGAAATATTTTTTATAAATATTATTACCAGCAATAGATTATTACCAGCAATACATTTCTGAAAAAAATTACCATCAATACATTTAAAAAAAAATGTTACGATCAATATATATTTGAAAAAATATTACCATCAATACATTTTCGAAAAAATATTACAAGTTATAGATTTTTTGAAAAAAATCTTACCAGCAATAGATTTTTGAAGACAAATATTACCAGCAATATATTTTTGGAAAAAAAATTACCAGCAATAAAAAATTTGTCGGCATTAAATAACCCATTGAGGTTGATATGCCGTAAAACAAAATAAACCAAACCAATCTAAACCAAAGAATACATATTCTATTTATACGAATCTATCCTAAAAATGTTGTTGGCATTAAATAACCCATTGAGGT